TAATTTTAAATAACTTAAAATTCATTTCTATATTGATGAAATTTTTATTGGTGTTCTAATATAAAATATCACATCAAAGCCTTGTTTTTAAAAATGCATAAGAGAAATTTTTATTTTATAAAGGAGGTAAAAAAATCAGTTTTATTCTGATCATTTTAAATAAATAAATTTCCATAATATAAATGGAGATCCTAAGGAATTAATACCACTATCTAAAATAAAATAACTTACTTAAGTATGTAAAAAATATTTAGACAGTTGAAGTTAATTCAAGTGTATCTCAATAAAAAAAATAGACGCATTGAATTATATAATACTTTTATTTTTAAAAATATGAAAATAATGTTTTATCATATCATGCCGACTAACCTAATGATTTTTTTAATTTTGAAAAACAATGGTTAAAAAAATATACATAAGTAAATTAGATTAATAAAAAAGTAACAAGTTAAATCTATTTTTATTTAATAAACGATAGGGATATTGTAGATAGGGTAGAGTATATTTATAAGTTAAAAGTACATTTAAAATAATAATTAGTACACTTTTTAATTATCTTTAAATTTAATAACAATGTAAACTAGACCTAAGAAATAAAAAACAAATACATTTCCATAAAATTATTAAACAACTAATTAATACATATTAAAAATAGTGACAGTTATAAAATAAATACGGAATACAATTTTTAGAAATATAATGACAAGGAACTTTTGTATGAAATATTTTTTCCTAAAATAATTCGTATGTTAAATAAAACATAAATAAAAAAATCGAAAATGTCCATTAAAAATTAAAGTAATTACCTTTTTATATATTGTAAAAATATTTTTTTGTAAACCTTGTAATAACCAATATCATATTAAATTATTTAATAAACAAATTTTACAGTGATCACATATAAAATAAGTCATATTTTTTAAAAAAAAATTACAAAAACCAAGAAATTGAATCCATTTTAAAATACCTTAAGGCTGGTGAATCTTATCCAAAGTTTAAAGAATGTATTTTCTCAATTTAAACTAATATTGTGGAGTGAGATTGTCAATTTTTTTAAAGTGTTGATATCATTGCTACTCTGTAGAATAATATACTTAATTAAACAGTGTACATAATCATGATATCTGTTATTATAAAATAATTCAACTAATTCATTTGAATCATTATATAGGTTTATACATCCGATTGACGAAACTATTAATCAAGAACTTGGAATCAAGACACTTAATATTTTATTTAGGGAGGGTAGTTGGAATTCCTTTAGCCACATAGAAGTACCACATGATAATTTAATAATAAATGCCAGAACTGTAATGAGAGACCTGGTGACAGATCACAATTTTCATCTTAAAAAATTTTACTTCACACAAATAGTGCGATGTAGATTTTTTGAAGTGCTTATAATTTACAATAAATTACTAACTATTTTATGTAAGATTTGTAGAATTGAAAAAAAAAGTAATAATTATGTGAAATGTGTGACATATCTTTTTGACACAATTAATTATACAGTAAACATGTTTTATTTTATGCTTACAATTATGGAAAAACTAAAACTATCAAAAATATGGTTACCTGAAAGATTGTATTCTAACTTGCTTTCAACACATCAATTAATACATAATTATGTAATTGATCTTAAAACTTATAATGTAACACGAAATGTGTTTATAAATACACCTGAAGTAAATATTGAATATTTAGCTAATGATTACATGATGAGTTTTCAAAAAGCAAGATTACAATTTTCCAATAAGTTACGTAAATTAAAACAAAACCAAAAAAATAACTGTTATTCAGAAGGTTTATTGGTGACTACAGAAAATCTGGAAAATAAAGTTACTAATATTGCGCTTGTTGTTAACTCATCAATGGCAAATGATACATCTGTCACCCAATATGAATTATTTTCGAAATATTTGTATGAATTTTGTAAAAACTTTATTAAAACTGATTATAAAGATACATGTTTTTATAAAATACATCAAAATTATTTTTGGAAATTGCCATAATCCATTTTTGTTATTAAAACTAAATATAAAATTTAAGTAATCGAAGCACGTATTTTATGTTTAATTAGAGTTATTCCTATGTATGAGTAAGATCTCTTTTAACAAAATAGGCTTAATGTAATAATAAGGAAACATTGCAGGAAGCACAAAAACAATAATTCAAATTACTTTTCAACCATGGAATTGCTATACTATATTTCATCTATTCATATTATACAGAGAGTTCAATAAGTAAGGAAATAGGTCAATTGTTACAATCAATAAGAACGATAGAAACCCTTTCCTTTACTTACTGAACACTCTATATACGTTCGATGAATAAATACATCATTTCTTATAATTGCTCTAAAAAATTTTTATAATAAAATAACTTTTGTTTATTTATGTATTTAGCTGATTTTGGAATACAGTGAGTTATTTCGATACTATTCCAAAATGTCTTGACGCAATTTTATTACTTTCAATTTATACACAAAAATAAAAATCTTAGGTAAAATCAGAAATATAACTTTATTAGTTCTTAACAAAATTTGATTGATTGATTTAGCAAAAGTTGATTGCTTCGATAATAAGTTTATCATAATTAAAGAATATTTCTAATGTAATAATATTATTTAATATTATAGGTAAAATATACAAATTCGCTTAATCAATATTTACTCATAGTTTATGAACTCAATGAAAAATCGTTTTATTGACTTGATTTCACCCAACTGAAGTTCTGGCTCATACCTGACGCGTCTATTGGAATTAGGCCTTTTGTCCATCTTTATTATGGGTAGATAAACTACACTGAGCAATATTGATTAATTAGAATAGAATACATCAATACAAAATTTTATTAGCATTTAATAGTTATTCGATGCTAATGATAATGAAACTTATAATTAGATCTTAATGAAAGATAAAATTATAAAATGCTCTTATTTAAAAGTCATTTCCGATAATAGATGTTGGATATATAATTTCATTTTGATGTTCAACTAATTATACTCAAAAATTGAGGCCAAAAAAACTATAATTTTAATTCACTAAATAAAACAGATAATAATAAATCGAAACACGGCAAAAATGCAGTAACGGCCCCTCTCCCAGAGGTGACCAATGAGGATGCGTCAGGTTGTCAGACGGCAACATTTTGTAAAAAAGTATGAAGAATAAAACTTTTATACCAGCTAGACAAATTGCGAAGTAATTGTTTCACTATACATAAGTACAGGTCTACCCAACGCTTGTTCTGTTAACAGTGTAGGGACATCATCACTGAAATCTAGGATGGAGTCATGTATATTGAAGATAGATAGATACAGTAATAAATACATAAAATAATTGTTAAATGATATTTAATGCATAGATTAAAAACTAAAACAAATAATGCCATAAATATAATACTATTTTCTACATGGTAAATAATGAAAATAAAATAGTTGATTGAAAAAATATATTATAGCATGTAAAGTAAAGGAAAATTATTATAGTAATTTTTTTTTATTAGTATTTTTTCTTAATAATACGAAAAATGATTCTAAAAAATATTATATTATTATTGACCATTCATTTAATATTTGGGATATCCTTTCGTGATTTACAGTGTAATTTTATGAAATATATGTTAAATTATTTTAATCATAATTACCGCTATTTAATTGAAATGATAGAAAACAAAGAAAAATATGACGTGGATAGTTTAAGCAAATATGGCAATGCAATAAAAACTCATGGCGAAATCGTATTAATAATGTTAGATATTTTAAGGGAAGCTGATAAAAATTTTTACTCGTCAGATTTGATATCAGTCAATTTATACATAAATAATGTTTCTGAGAATATAGATTTCTATGCTAAAAATGGTAACGGAATATTTGATTTGTCAGATAAAATTTCCAGTATTATTAAAGGTTACAAAATGCATCATGAGTTCTTTTCAGATCATTTAGAGCTTAAAATATTTAAACATTGTAGTTGTACCACATTTGACGAAGTATTTATTTATTTTCCTGATTACAACGAATCAGGTGAATATACTATTGAAAATTTTCAAATTGTTTCAAATAAACTTAGAAACCGATTGTTACAAAGTGATAAACATCAAAACGACACCGATGAATATATTAAAAATTTAAAATTTAGTAGAGTATATTTTTATTTTAAAAAAGCTATTAAAAGGTGTGAATACTGGGAATTTTTACCAAAAAATTTATTATTTTATGACTTTATGATGAATAATCGCGAAATTTCTGAAAAAGATCTTATAAGAAATTCTCAGGATAAACAATATCCACAGTTAATAAACGGAAGAATTCAAAATGTTTTAGATTTTATTCGATTTGCACCACTCGCTATAATTTGTCCCGACGAAAGCCACTTGACCCTTTTTGATATATTTAGATTTATCAAATATAGTTTTTTCACAAAAGATATACAAGTATTTCATGTACTTATAATGACTGCAACATTTCGTCCTATTGCTTTACTCGTTAGACTTTTTATCAATATTCTTAGGTCCTCAATAGAAGTTTACAATTTTTATAGTAACGAAAAAGAAAGTTTAATATTGTATCATAATATTATTTTTGTTGGTAATAGAATAATTGAAATTTTTCAAGATTTTGTTAATTTGAATCTCTTTGGTGACGGGCCGGCTGATGTCTTTTTTACATTTTCAAAAAAAACTTCTAAATGTCTTAAATATTTCATTAATAAAGATAAAACAAGTGTCAAGTTTACATCCATAAAACTGATGCATTCATTAAAATTATTTTTTTATTATAACAAATTTAATTTTGATAATTTATATGAGTATACTACAAAGGATATTATCAATAATTGCTTTAATGAATTGACTGTAAACACGAAACATGCTGAAACATTTATAAGAAACTTAGAAGAACACAAAAAATTCTTTGAAATAACCAAAAAAACTTTGAATATTAATCACAAGTTAAATAATACACACACTTATGTTTTTCATAAATNATACAATTGACTCATGTTTTTAATAAATTTACAATAAGTAAGTTTAATATAAATTTATTTTAATTACTAGTTTTATATACTCTGAACTTAAATAATTTAATTATTATTATTTAAAACTAAAATTTTTTCTTCAATTATTAATTTTTCTAAATTTTCCTTGATATATTTTAATAAGTCTTGTAAATATCATTATCTTATTAAATGTGACTTTTATTCTCTTTCATAATGTATCATATAAAAATAATAATACCGTCATCTTTTTTTTTTAGATTTGTTATGTCAAACTAAAGATATTAACACATTATCATATAAATTCAATGATGAATATGTCACTCAAATTGTTGATTACAATAAAAAAATTACATCTGATGATGATGAAAATAGAAACAAATATATGAGTAAAAAAAATTATCCTGAAGATTCTTTAAATAATAATGATAATTGCGATTACTATTGTTTTTATCCTAAATATTTAAAAGATTATATATTGTTTATATAAATTTTACACAATATTTATATTTATAAATAATTTTTAGATTATTTATACACATAGACTATATAATACATTAAAATACCTTAAATATAGTATTATAATTAGGGTTCGGATTTAAATATCCAAAAAAATCTACCATACAAATATTTAAAAACAAAAATATAATGTAAAAACTTTTTATTTTTTTTTGTATGTATACAGTTATCCTATCGTCATTTATTGTTTTAAATATTATCAAAAATAATTTATACATGGAATGCAATTTTTTTTCTCTTGACTTCTGAAATAATGAACTATATTTATTTATTTTATTTAAATATGATTTTTTTTATTAGAAAGTTTTATTATTTATGCTATTTCAAATTTTAGGATACCCAATTCAATTCCGCATTCTACAACTGTAAAGTTTATATTATTAGAAATATATAAGTTTACAGTAAAAGGTATGATGAATGGTATGTTAGGCTAGGAACAATGTAAGGTGAAAAAGAAGTCTATAGACTTGCAAAAGTGAGAGAAAAAAATATCTAAAGATTATCATTATGTAAGGTGTATAAGAAGTGTTGATAATAGGGTATTATCGAGTCCCGTCGCGCTGCGCTACAGTGTCAGTTAGATGAGACTCTATTTGTTTATTTTAATTTATTTGGACTGACGAATAAGCGGTTGCGGACAGCGAGCCCCTCGTTTGTTCGTTAACCCTGCAGATATGCAGGATAGCCGTCATATAAGACACTCTAAAGTAGACGAATAAGCGGTAGCGTTGGAGGGAAATTTTATAAATCTAAAGGTTCGCAGACTCCGGTCCGGCTGAGTAGGTTTCCACTGAAGGCCCGAATCGGTCGTTTTCAAACTCCTGGCAGAATGCCGGCCCTAAAAAAGAGGAAATCACGGCCGCCTTCCTTTTACACAAGGGCGGTACACTGCGCTCGAAATTCGATCTTGCGAGTTCGAGGTCCACATTATACATATTAGTTATACATTAATTATACAAATATGATAAATATTAAATTAACAGCTATTCAGTTAATTATAGGCAAAGAAGAAATGAAGGGTCAACGTTGGCAATTGACATCATACGTGTAATAGGCTCATTTTAAGGTAATTAAAGGTAATAATTTAAGGTAATAAGTAAAAAAGGCGAAAGGAACATAAAAAGGAGCAACAGATCGGGAAAGACGTTGAGGAACTCTAAAACAAATTAAACAAAGCAAATAGGGAGAATCAATATATCCTTGTAATAAACTATTTAGGAACTTAATACCCGAGAAAAAATTATAAATAAATATCATATAAAAATTGAACTATTTAATATTATTTGAATGCATGAGATGATATTGCTATTAATGTCGATTACTGAATTAATCTAAATTGTGCAATAATATAAAAAAAATTTTATACATATAAATACGCATAACCTATATTTTATTTCGATTTTCAAATTTCATAAAATAACATGCACACATAAACGAACAAAAAAAATTTGAATTAGTGTAAATATGACATCATGATTTTCATAGAAATATTATTTTATTTTACATATAATTTATAGTTAATTGTATGTTATAATTAATTTTAATTATTTCAAAAATGAACTTACAATTATTTGTGATTTATAATTTTATTTAATACATTTGTTTTTATACATAAACACAAAATTAAATTTAAACAAAAAATTAAGTCTAACACAAACATTTTAATTGTGTTCAACAAGTTATACGTACTGTAAGTTAATCTGAGCGAATGGAAACAGTAAATTTATAGTCCAACTTAATGTTTTCTTAATTTCTGCTCTTAAAAGATTACCATGTTCTATTGTTTCAAATGTTCGAAATGGAGTGTCAATTAATCCTGTACAATTTTTATAGCGAATCATGAAGTCATCGAGCATTTCAGCATACAATTGTTTATTACGTGCATTCATTTCATTTTTTAAGCAAGTCATTAAAATACCTTCTAAAATTTCTATAGGTTCAGTGCGTAAATAATAGGTCATAAACTTTTTCTTTAACTCGGAAAAAAAGGTTAAATCTCGTGTAAATATAGTTTTTGCGTCTACAATTGTTTTTGTTATAGCTTTCTTAATTATTTCACAATAATGAATCATTGCTGAAATTCCAATACTTTCGATGACATTTCTTAGCCAAACCATACTTTCGAAATAATTTCCTACACTAAATGTTTCAATAATGATGGCTAACAACGTTTTCCCTTCAACTGCTGTTACTTGGTATTGGCCAATAGGAGCAGAGCCACTGTATGGTTTACTGAAATCAACTGGCTCATTAATATCCAAACGATCATTGTACTTGCTCTGATCAGTCTCATTCATTATCTCAGGTGCGGTGTAAATTGACCTTTCGTGTAACACCAATTCCATTAGTCTTGCATTGTCCATGCAACAATCATATACTATTTGAATATTTAATCGATACATTTCGTGGGTTACACATTTTTTTGAAAATGAACATAAAATAAGGATTGCACAAATAAAATGCATACTTCTAATAGGTAAAAAATATTAAATTATAATTAATTAATTGAAAATAAACGATGTTTTTAACAATGTATTATATATTCAATAAAATAGTAATTTTTCTTTAATGAAACAATATGTTTTAATATATAATGTAATTTAATTACAATTATATGTAAATAATTAAAAATTATTGATAAATATTACTGGCATCTTTAATATAATTTTCGAATTAGAATAAAAAGAATATTTTAACTATAATAGATTGCATAGATTCACGCTGTTTTTTAACATTTAATTAAAAATAAGTTCCATTTAGAATCCTAGAACAAATATAAATAAAATAACTTTTATTTGACTTCAATTTTTATTATTTACTTTTGGGATTCAACCTATTTCAAAATATATTTTTACAGTATAATATACAATATTTATAGAGATTTGTTACAATGTCAGTAGTATCTAACTTATTGGTAGACTAATAGTTGGAACTCTTAGGGAAATGGTAAAAAAATGGGATTCCCTGAGATTTTGTGAAAGTATTATAATTTTTTTAAATAAATATTTAAAAAAAATTATTTTTTATATTATAGTCGAAGTAAAAGAATAAGTTAACGTAGAAGATAACCTCATTTTAGCAGCAATTTTTAGGCCACGAAAAATAATACTGAAATATCTGCTTATTTAAAAGTAATTTACAGAGTGAAATAAATCTGGTAAACACTAATTTTTCAAAAACTATTGATTATTGTACATTTTTGTAAAGATGAAAAATATTAGGTTCAAAAAACTACGTAATTTGTAGTTAAATAATTGCTTTCACCCCTACAGGTATAAAAGTTCTGCAGTATAATTGTTTGAAACGGATAACCCTATTTTAAACTTCATAATATGATAGACAAAAAGTTATAGCAATTTAAATTTGAAAATTTTAAATAAAAAATTGTAACACGAAAATAGCATTTTTTTAACTACGGCAGCCGTTTGCTCATAGAAGATAAGTCATCTGAACATATTTTAGCTTTGAATTTTTTTTTGCTTAAAACTGCCATAATTTTTTAGCTTCGATGCGAAGCTGAGAAGGTATTAATTTTACCATGATGTGTTTTTTTTATTTTTTTATGACTCTTGCCACTTTTTCTCAGCTCTGACTGGACCGATTTCTTTCAACAATACGTCAAAAGATCACAAATCGTATCCAGTTGAAGACATTACCTTAAAAATTGAAAAATTTTCCCTCGTTCCCCGCAAATGGGGGAAATATCCAAAAAAATTACAAATTTAAAAATCCGTAAATTTTCTCATTTTTTTCACTTTTTTTCTTAAAACTTCCATAACTTTTTGAAAAATAAACAAATCAACATAATTTTTTTTATACTAAAACCTTAGATAGTTCCCATTCATTTTATATCATTTTTTTAAAAATCTAATACTTAACCTGCTCATTGGGGGGGATTTAAAATAGCAACTTTTTTATAAAAACTAACTTTTTCAACTTAATTTTTGAAAATGTTCCGGAAATACTGCGTCCTTTAAACATATATCAAATTAAAGCTTATTTTATGTACTAAAAAAATGAAAAAAAAAAATTTGTCCCGACGACCTATATTCTATGCGCAAATAACTACCGTATTCAAAAATATGCTATTTTTCTATTAAAATTCTAAGTTTTGTATTTTATTTTATTTTAAAATATCTTATTAGGAGNAAAAAAAATTTGTCCCGACGACCTATATTCTATGCGCAAATGGCTACCGTATTCAAAAATATGCTATTTTTCTATTAAAATTCTAAGTTTTGTATTTTATTTTATTTTAAAATATCTTATTAGGAGAATATATTGACTTTCATGAATATTATATAATTTAATCGACATAGAATAAAGTTCAAAGAAATTAAACTTATTACATTTTTTTTACTTTTTTAAAGTCGAAAAAGTAATTTTTAAATTTGAGTTAGCTTAAATAGCCAATTTTTTAGCTTCGATGCGAATTTTTTATATGTAAATACTAATTTTTAATAATATTAAAACTTATAAGTGATAAAAAAAGTCTAATTGCAGATTTGATAACATCGCGAAAAGTTGATTTAGAATGGTATATTTTTGTTACTGATGAAAGTTCCTTGTAGTTCAGTGCATTTATTTATAGTAACAAACAGTTTTTATTGAAATTTATTGTATCAAGCCCTTTAAATTTTTATACACGTAAAAATAAAGCAAAATACAACTTCTTTATTATTTTTATAATTTCTCCGTTTAAATTACAATATTAAATTATTGAATATCAATTTCATACTAAATTTAATAATTATAATTAGTATTTATTCATATATTATATTTTAAAATCAAAGAACTACTNTGCATACTAAATTAAATAATTATAATTAGTATTTATTCATATATTATATTTTAAAATCAAAGAACTACTAGTTAGGTTATAATCAAAGAAATAAGAGTTGATGTTGCTTTTAAAATATTTCACCAATTTCTCTAAAGGAAACACTATCTACCGATTTGCATTGAAGCGTTTCTTATGATAATGATTTTAATCACTGTCAAATATCATCTATACTTGTCTCATCTATGCCTTGTCTACACTGTGCCTTGACCCCACT